ACGCCTTCCATTTTCCGCCGTCGTTCGGTTCGATTCCATTTTAGCGAACACTTGACCGGTACACATAGTAGACACACACGCGCACGCGACGGCACGGACGGACTGACCACCCTTAACAAACACTCTCAACGTAGCAGAGAAAGGTTCGAGAAACGATGAGTGAGACCGCGGTGCGCGTGTGTCCGTGTGCACACGCGGAGGGGCGGAGGGCATAGCGCATTGTCTGCAAATGTGCCCCGCCTGCCCCGCCCCGCCCCGCCCATGCCGGCGAGCCGCCATGGCAGAGCCAACTAGGCAGCAAGCTCCACAGCGCGGAAAAAGAAAACAGCGACAGAAAAACGGCTTCGCTCTTTCCTTTTCGACAGCTTTAGAGACCGGCGCAGGCCGGGCGCAGCCCGGGGCCGGGTTCAAATCCACCCCAAGGTGACGCGGCAACGGCGGAGAGTGCGCAGCCCGGCGCGGCCGTGCGAGACCATCGACCAGGACAAGATTAATGGGACACAGAAAGTGGCCCCGCGCTGTCTGTCCATCTCTCTCGCACCCAGACGCGACGGCCCGTGAGTGCGAGAGAGACAGAGCGACTGATGCACTGTTTGGAGTGAGCCGCTGCTGGACGCAACAGGCATGCCGCTGCCGCCGGCTCGCCACATCCTTCACACACGCCTCTCTTGCCCTCACTGTCTTTCGTTCTCTGTCTCTCTCTCTCTAGCCAGCAGTGTGCTGGCAGCCGGCGACACAGAGCCGCCCCTTGTGCCGCGCGACCTCGACTAGCATGGCCCCGCCAGCTGGCCGGCCAGGGTTCAAATACCAATGGCGGAAAAAGAGAGAGAAAAAGAATGGCTTGGAAGCAGCGCTGCGACTATCACAGGCGAAGTAAGCGCAGAAAGTTGTTCGGGTTGCCTAGGACCGGGGGGGCCTCCGCGTCGACTTTTTCGACGTTTACGTACACACACACACAGACCGCCAGGAACCAATCCCGGCGCCCGCAGCGCGTCCCGGCCCCACCCTTTTATCAACCCCTTCGCCCCACATGCTGCGACTGACCTTTACCGCCCCCTCCCCCCCCTCCCCTCTCTCTCTCGCTGCCCGTACCGCCACTATGCCCTAAAGGACACTCCAAACTTCGTTCCGGCCCCGCGAAATGTCACAGCCCCTACGCCAACCCGCGGCGCTGCTCCAAAGCGGGACAAGCAACATTAATTTCCAGGAGAAAAAAAATGGAAAAGGGCGCAACCCTCTAGGGCCACAGTGCCTGCAGTCAAAGCTGACCTGGCGACGTCGCGCCCTTCAGTGTAGGCGCAGCCCATTAGGACGAGAAAATTCAAAACAAAAATAAACATCTTTCTTTTAAAAATCAGTAAATCTGCCCTAGTTTCTCCGGCCGGCCCCGCACCACAGGGACAGAGTTTACCTCGAAACGACGCCACAAAACGCAAAACAAAAAGGGGGACAACTCAACAAGCTGCGAGGTAAACAACGCTTCATTCTTTTGGTTCGCGCTGTCGGGCGAATTAGCAGAACCGCCTAGCAGCGCCGCCAACACTCTACTCACACACACCACAGCGCAACCACGCACACACACGCACACAAACAAACACAAGCGACCGAGCGAGCCAGCGCGCGGTTGTAGTGCAGTCAGCCTTCGAAGCAATGCATCAGTCTCTGCGAACGACACAGTACAGTAGTCGGACTCCGAACCCGAACGGCGCGAGTGCGAGACAGAGCGACAAAGGCTCCGTTCGGAAGCGGCCCCCTTCCGAGCGCCCGGCGCCCATCTGCAGCAGGCACTCCAGGGGCGGGGCGGGGCGGGGCGCGATTCGCATTGACATCCCGACCGCAGCGCGACGCGGCTAGCGCCTACACCACAAGCACGCCAGCCAATATTGTGACAAACATCTCAGTCCGCCTCCCCCCCCCTCTCCGCTTTCATTCCGTGATGTCTTCCTTCCCTCCCCTCCGATGAATGGGCGGTAATGGCCCCCGCGCGACACGGCTGTGACAGCGCGACGCGTGTCCAGCGCGGCCCTGCGCCAACTGGCCTGCTCCAGGCCACACACGGCGGACCGCGCGGAGCCAGCTGGGATGCACCCAACAAGCCAGCGTGTGTGTGTGTGTGTGTGTGTGCGCGCGCGTGTGTGCCTACTCGCTAAGTGGCTGTACGGCGGCCAGGCCACAAAGGGGCAGTGAGGGCAAGGACGCCACCGCCGCCACGGCTATCGGAGAGCCCGGGCCGAACGCGCACGTGAGGCGCCATCCCTCCCAAGGGCCTCAGAGAGCCTCCTCCGCCCCCTGCCGGCGAGTCTGCGACACTGGAAGGGAGTCCGCGACACTGTCGGCGACCTCAGGGACCTAAGTGAAAAGGCCTGTCCGGCACATTATCGCAGAGCAGCAAGGCGCCACTCGGGGTCCGGCGGCAGTGCGGCGGCACGGCGACGCAGGAATGCCAATGAGGGTCAGTGCTTTCCGTCTCTCTCGCACTCGTGGGGCCGTGGCGCGGCGCGAGAGAGACAGCGAGACCCGGCCCGCGGCACGGCGCTGCCAGGAGTCGCCCGGCCAGGTGCTCGCCGCCTAATAAGGGCAATGGACGGCACCCACACTGCCAGCGCGGCCAGCTTCGCCTCCCCGGGGAACGAGCGCGCCGTCGTCGCCTTCGTGCCTTCGTCCTCGGCAAGGCCAAGCACGGCCAGGCCGAGCCAAGCCGGGCGTAATAACGAGTTGGTGTATCCACGGCGGCGTACCGACTCCACTCCGCGTTGCCGGCGCCGGAAGCCCTCGCCGCGCGCACACACTCACACAATCACACCTCCGCCTGTAATCCAGATCCAAATTACACGGACCGGACTCGCGGCGTCGTGACGGCACGTAGCCGCCACCACAAAAGGGCCGGCCAGCAACAACAACAACATTGGCGGCCGCGGGGCGTGACTGGGCGCGGCGACCGCGGCGACAAGGGCCTGGAGCCCGAGGGGGAGCAGCAACAACAACAACAACAAGCAATTACAATCCAAATATCGCGTCGTGCCGCGAAGCACCGTGACGCCGACATCCTCCGTGCCGCGCAGCCATCCAGCGGGCACGCCACTGTGCGACACCGCGGTGCGCGACAACGCCGCGGTGCCGCGGTCTGGAGTGCGCGGCCTCGGTTACACACAGTGGCGTGGCGCGCCGGCGCGGTGCGGCTAGCGGGGCGAACAACGCCACCACCAACGCCCAACCACCGGGAAGTTCCACAGCTTCCCGTGCGGCCTTGGCACTTCCACGCACTTTCCACCTCCGAGAGCAGCAGAGCCGCGCGGCGCGAGCAAATTGTGTTGACCCCGCGCGGCACGGCCAGGCACGGCCAGGCACGCCCAGGCGCGGTGCGAGAGCAAGACAACAGACCCAATATCGCGGAGTGGCAGAGCGAAGCCCAGCCCCAGCGCCGAGCCAAGCGCGCACTACTCCGGTAATGACCCAACAGCTTCCTCCCCGCCCAAGCGCCAGCCCAAGCGCCAGCCCAAGCGCCAGCCCAAGCGCCAGCCCAAGCGCCAGCCCAAGCGCCAGCCCAAGCGCCAGCCCAAAAGCTAGCCCTAGCGCCAGTCAAGGCACGTCCCCCGCGACCGCCCAAAAGACGGCCGGCGTCGCCCCTTTGTCCGCGGGCCCGACATGACAGGTGCGCTTTTGGACAGCCGACGCCCGCCTGCGCGAATGGCGCCGACTGGCGGCGAATGGCCGGCCGGTCGACGACCTTTCCCTCAGAGGGTCCTAAAGCTAAAGGGCTCGCCGAGCGTCGCGCCCCGCCGCACCACCACGCCGCAAAAGGGCCCGCCCAGCCCTTTAGCATGCCTTTAGCCCGGCTTGGCCGGGACGGACTTGGGGACTTCCCCGACGGCGTCCCCAACGGGGTCATTGCGGCCCCCTGGGGAGCGGGAAGGCACCTGTGTACGACGGCGGCCTGGTCTCTCTCACACACACAGGGAACGGACTAAAGCCCTGGGCCGCGCCACGCCATGCCGGGGACTGAGCTATATTAGGACCCCGCCGCCAACAAGTCTAACATACGACGCCCCCCGCCCCGCCCCGCCACTGTCACCGCGCCGCGATGCGTCACCGAATTCCTTCGCCACAACTATGCCGGCCGGGGGCGGCAGCAAGGCGCCGGGCAGCCCCCAGTCACGCTCACCTACCGCCCCGCGCCCCGCGCCACCCCGACGATTGGCGGGCGCACGCTGAAAGCCGTCTCATCATCATCACCCCCGCGGTGGCAGCCACGCATCGCCGGCGCTGACATTTGGCACGAGACGAGGGCGTGGCGGCGCCGGGGAAGGCGATCTCGGAGAGGATCATCATTGTGGCGGCGACAATGCCGGCCGGGACAAAGGGCCTAACCAAAACAAAGCAAACAAAGGCGCGCGCCACACCGCGGATTTGCGCCGCGCGGGGTAGCGCCCCGCCACGGCCACCTCGCGGTGCCGCCTCGCGGATCGCACCTCAGCGCCACCGCGCGGCCGAGACCGGAACCCCACCGCCAGGCGGCACTACCCCGCGCCGCGTGGAGGGGCCTCCACCGCGCGGGGTATCGACGCGCCCGCCCGGCGCCGGCAAAACCAGCGGCGATACCCCGCGCCAGCGTGCGCCGCCAAATGCAATTAACGGCCCTGCTTTGATCCGGGAGATCGATACACTGGCAAGCCGGCGGGGCGGAGCGCGAAGCACGGCGCCAGTCGCGAGTAATTGCGTGGGAGTCCCCGGCGCGAGTGTCACCGCCGGCCACGCCACGCCACTGCAAGCCCACCCTGGCCGCCCTTTCATCCCGCGTGCCAAACGGCGCTTTTGCAGCGGAGCTCGCATTGCGAGACTCGCGGCTTGCAGCGCCACAACGACGCGAACGGCGATACCCCGCGCGCGCGGTGCATCGCGCCGAGGCGGCAATGACCCCGCGGACCGCCCACACGACGACAACGAGTGCCTGCTGCTCACTGCCGTCGTCCGCACCGACGTGGACATGGACGTCGTCTTACCTGGATGTCGAAGTTGGGTGGCAGCACTCCCGGGGAGTCCATGCCCTGCGCTCCGGGTCCGCCCGCCGTCGGCTGCTGTTGCTGCGCCAGCATGGCCCCTGGGGGGCCCGTGGCCGCGGGGCCGGGTCCAGGGTGGTACCTGCAGCAAACTGCCGATCAGTACAAGATCCTCCGGCTGGGGGAGACGCACCACGGCGAGCAGGGTCCTACTTACCCGGCTTCGAAGGCCTGCGCCATGGTCTGCGACGGGTCCAGCGTCATGACGTGCTCGAAGTGCTGGCTCATGCTCTCCATGTTGAGGTGGTTGTGCATCTGCTGCGCCTGCTGTTGTTGCTGCTGCTGCTGCTGTTGTGCTTGTTGCTGAGCCTGCTGCTGCGCTTGCTGGTGTTGGGCCTGTTGGTGCTGGGCTTGTTGGTGCTGGGCCTGCTGGTGCTGGGCCTGCTGCTGTTGCTGCAGCCCCATATTTACAGTAAGGTGCTGCTGCACGGCGTTGAGGGGGTGGTGGTGGTGCTGGTTCATCTGGTGGTGCTGGTTCATCTGATGGTGGTGGTTCAGTTGCTGCAGAGTGTGGTTCATGTGGTTCTCGGCTCCGTTGTGGTTCTCCTGGGGGTGGCCCTTCATGACAGGCACGCCGCCGCCCCCGCCAACCATGCCACCGTTATTCTTGTTAATGTCCTCGTCGGACGGCGAAGGCTGACGACTGCCAGGGGTCCGGCTAAAAATAGAGACGAACACTTGCATGAGGACAAGCCCTTCCGGACCGATAATAGGTAAGAATAGGGTTTTTCGGAGAGAAACAAAAGCGGAAGCAAGAAATGACATTTTGTATGAGAAATATACGGTGCGGATGAGGCCTGGGGCTCATCCAAACCGTATATTTCTCATACAAACTTCCGTACTTGCTTCCGTATCTGCTCTTCTCTTCCGGGCTGGAGCTCCTCTGAAATATAGACTCGATACGTACTTGAATCCCTTGTCGTCGTCACAGAGACCGTTTTGTACAATGCCGTTCGCCTGCACGTTCACGGCGTTGCCGTTCTCCATGTCTTTCTTGTTTGAATCATACGGGGAGTTGGGTGCTTTTTCCTTATCTTTCTTATCCGAGTCGGCGGAGTTCTGAAAAGGGACGAGAAAACAATGAGCAAACACGTGGCAAAAGCCGCGAAAACTAAGTTGGAAGCGAAACACGGTCGTACTCACCATGACTAAGCCTCGCATTCTGCCGTCCAGGTCCTTGCTGGTGGGTGAAGTGCCCAGGACGTATTCGACCATCTTGACGCCGAGGCCGCCCGTTTCGGACCGCGGGGACAAGATGTTGTTGGCCGCCTCGTTGCCGGGGAAGCTGCCCGACCGCCTGGGGACCATCGTGATGGGCTGGGAGACGGCATGGTCTGCAACAACAACAAGGGCAGCGCGGCGTTAGACATTGTCGTTAGACGTTGTGGCTGGCGCTTCCTCAAACAGCCCGGCCAATCCGGCGTACAGCGGGGCGCCTGCCGCGCCAGCCGCGCCGCTCGCGTGCGGACCGAGCCTGCAGAGCCGTTCCGAAGGGCGATCTGTCTCTCTCGCACCCCTGCGGTACGCCCCACGAGTGCGAGAGAGACAGAGCGACAAAGGCCACTGTTCGGAATGGGCGTGCTGGCCGTGCCGCGATACGGGTAGAGTCAGCGACCGATGCAGGTACGGGTCGTGCGGGTAACACTCACACACACACGCTTGCTCATTCCCCAATCGCATTACAAGCCCGGCTAAACAGCGACTTGCTTCTGCCTTCACTCCTCACGAAACGTCAACAACACCCGCTCCTATTTCTTATTTCGAACGGCACCCATTCCAGTCGCTGCAGGGCACCGAGCACATCCCCGCCTCAAAGAAAAATAAAATTAGCACAGCGGCGGGGCGGAGTGCATGCACCCCACGGGGAGGGGCAGCGCCCCTTAGCGCGGCGCGGAGCACCAGACCGGGTTAGGCCCCACACATGTCTCGCCGAGCCTTCACCACGCACACACACACACACACACCAAGCGAAACAACGAGGCAAACGGCAGCCCTCGTCACACTGCGATTCGAGACTCCGGCGGAGCGCGCAACACGTGCAGGTACATTATGGAAAGGGAGGGGTCGATGGAACACGGCGTCGAAAAAACGACGAGCGCGAAAAACAAGGCCAGCAAAAAGGGGGAAGGGGGGGGGGGAGGGGGCAGGAAAGCCGCACGAACCGAGCCTCCGCGAGACGAGACGCTTTTGCATAACAGATTCGCACCACAGAGCAGCAAAGCAGCAGCATGGCGGGATACCAGGATGGCGATGGAGAGCAGGACGACCGACTGGCGGCCAGGCTGCCAAGGTTAGGCCCATGCCTCGCCCTTCGCCTTCCACCCCCCGCACAGTGAGCCACAAGACCGGTGGAGACGGCCAAAATTCTAGGCGCGTTCTGACCTCCAGACTCGATCCGAACGTGTGACCCCACCGAGAGAATCCTCGTCCGGAGAACAATCCATTGGTGGGGTCACACGTTCGGTTCGAGTCTCATTTATCAGCTCTGGAGCTCAAAACAATTCTAGAGTTTCGGCCGTCTCCACCGGTCTTCTGGCCCACTGTGCTTCGCCCCGCATCGGGGATCCTGGCACCTCCACTGTCATTCCCCGCACGAGCCGGGCGGCAAAGCTTCGTCGCCTCGCCGCCCCGCGGCTGCATCACTCCGAGCAGGCCTCCGTCTCTGTCGCACCCCAACGGGGCGCCCGCGGCGCTCACCCGAGCAGGCCTCGTCTCTGTCGCACCCCAACGGGGCGCCCCGCGGCTGCATCACTCCGAGCAGGCCTCTGTCTCTCTCGCACCCCAACGGCGGCTGCCCCCGGCTGCATCACTCCGAGCAGGCCTCTGTCTCTCTCGCACCCCAACGGGGCGCCCCGCGGCTGCATCACTCCGAGCAGGCCTCTGTCTCTCTCGCACCCCAACGGGGCGCCCCGCGGCTGCATCACTCCGAGCAGGCCTCTGTCTCTCTCGCACCCCAACGGGGCGCCCCGCGGCTGCATCACTCCGAGCAGGCCTCTGTCTCTCTCGCACCCCAACGGGGCGCCCCGCGGCTGCATCACTCCGAGCAGGCCTCTGTCTCTCTCGCACCCCAACGGGGCGCCCCGCGGCTGCATCACTCCGAGCAGGCCTCTGTCTCTCTCGCACCCCAACGGGGCGCCCCGCGGGTGCGACAGAGGCGGAGCGCCGAGCCCCGAGGCGTGCCCGGCGACCCATCCTCCGGGCGCTGACGCGCGCTAACGCGATCGGCGTCGCAAAAGTCAATTATTCGCGAAATAATGCAAAACGCTGTGCTGCGCCGCTGCGCCTCGGCCTGGCCCACTGGAGGGAGCTCCTAGCGCCGCCCAGCGCGCCAGCCAAGCCGTGGAAATTCTCGGCCCAGCTGCTCGGAGGCCCATCAGGCGAGCGAAAACGAACACGAGCAACGGAACGAAAACGAAGCGAAGGAAAAAAAATTGCTTTCCTTAATTTTAACAGCCCGCCGCTCGCCTCCCTCGATCTCCCCGGGGCGGGTAATCGATTCGGTGTTCGGCAGGCGCCGCCGGCCGGCCGCCTAGGACAGCCTCCACACGGTTCGACGCGCCCGTCGAGGGAGGAGGCTTCTGGGCCGGCGTCGCTGGGCGTCGCCGCCGGGTCAAAAGTTGCAAACACCGATTAGACCACTATCATCGAGTAATGGAATAAAGTTGCGACCCGCCCCCGCCAACCCTTCCAACGGACGGCACCGGCGCCTGGCCCGGGGCGACCCTCTCCTCCCTCCCTCCTCCCTGTACTGCGGCAACACCATCCCCCACCTTCGGCATGGAGGCGCCGCGGCGCCCTCCCGACTTCCAAGTGGCAAAACCACACGCCGCCGGGGCCTGTCCTGCCGCGGGGCCCAGCCCACCCCCTCCACCAGCCCGGCAGGTTTCAATCCGAGTTATTAATTGATGCATCGGAACCGAGCGGGCCGGGCCGGGCGCGACGGGCGCGTGTCGCTTGGAAAACACGCTGCGCGCCACGCCTGGCTACGGTCGATGCGCGTCAGCTGATCGGGCCGCGCGCCGCGCCGTCTCTCTCGCACTCGCAGGGCGTCCCAGGCGGGTGCGACAGAGACCGATCGCAATCGAAGTGCAGCCCCGCGGCGAGGACGCGAGAGGACAGCGAGTGCCGATGGAAGGGCGGACTCCGCGGACGGGCAGCAGACTCCGGGCCGACAAGGGTCGCACAAGGGCGGCGAGGCCGTGAGGGTGACAAGCCGCCCTCTGGGCAGGGCCCAGCCGGCCCAGGCCCAGGCCGGCCCAGGCCCCGTCGCTCCCTCGCACTCACGGGGCGTTCCCAAAGGGTGCGACAGGGACATGGCCATGTATGTAGCGCCGCTCGGAATCAGGCTCCTGGGCCGGGCCCTGCGCAAGCCCTGCGCGGGGCCCCGGCCCTTTGGGCCGTATCGGAATGCCCCGCCCCGCGCCACTGGGGCGCCACGCCCTTCGGGCTTCAGGCCCTTCAGGCTGACGACGACGAGGAGGACGACGGCGACACAGGGCCCTGCAGGGCCGGGCGCTGCGACGCGCTGCGACATCCCCGAGTGCGCCGTCCTCGCGAGTCAGCGCGCCCTGAGTGATTGGGACAGCAGCAGGGCGCCCGACCCGACCTCCGCCCGGCCCCGCCCTGTCCCGTCCGTTCAGCCGGAAAAATATGAATACAGTGCAGTGCGCCAGGCGAGCTGTGCGCTGTGCACTGTGCGTGCCCATACACCACCACCCCGCGCTGCCGCCATGCCGTGCCATGCCGACAGGGGGAGGGCCTGGCGCCGGTCGAGTCGTGTGCGAGGGAGAGAGAGGGGAGGACGGCCGTGGGTTGCGCCGCACCGCCGCACCACTCGAAGCCATAACGGGGCGACGCAGCGTCGCGACGTCGCGCCGCCCAGCTGGACTGCCCGCATCCGCCGCCACCTCGCGGAGGACCTCGCGGAGGGCGCCGTCGTGGACGCGGAGCAAGGAAGTCAGCAAACGCACACCCAGATGTACACTGAGACTTGCGCGGGCAGCGTGCCGCAGCGCGCCCCGCCCCCTCGAGGAGGCCACCGCACCCAGCTTACGCAACCAGACACTCGGGGCCCGGCGGGGCGGCGGGGCCGGCGCGATGACGGCGAGCTCCCCGGGGCACATCGTGCCCGTCGTCTGCGCGGTGCGGGCGGTGCGGTGCCCCTCCAGGCCTCCCTGGCCGTCTCGCTGGCAGATTCCGCGCCAGCGTCAAGATTACTCCGACAGGAAATGACGCGACGGCGAGGCACAAGGCTCGATACCATACACCGGCCGAGAGTCGCTCTCGTCGCTCTGTCTCCCTCGCGCCCAGACGGGACGCCCCACGAGTGCGAGAGAGACAGAGCGACGACTCTCGGAATCAGTGTGCAGCAGGCAGACACACTGCTCTCGTCACTCCGTCTCTCTCGCACCCGTGCAACCCTGCGCCTGTGCGAGAGAGACGGAGCAACGCAGTCCGGAATCAGAGTGGAGCCCGGCGGCCCAAGAAGGTGTCACTCACTCGCAACGACAACGGAGGCGGCCAAAGCCCGAGACGCGTTTTGAGATAGAGAGTCGGCAACCAGGACTCGAACCTAACGTGTGATTGGTGGGGTCACACGTTCGGTTCGAGTCCCATTTAGCGACTCTGGAGCTCAAAACGCGTCTAGAATTTTGGTCGTCTCCACCGGTCTTGTGGCAAATCAACTGTGCGCCGGCGGGGTAGAGTCGTCGTTATGAGTGCCTCCAGTCAGGCCATGCCACGCCGCGGGCCGCGCCCCACCACTGCAAGGCGACGCGCGGGGAACCCGGGAACGCGGGGCTGTGGCGTGCAAACGCGACACAGAAATACGACACGACGCAGCTCCAAGCAGAGTTGAAGCTTCTTCGATTACAACCCCCTGCCCCCTCCCCCTTCTCCCCTGGGCCCCCTCGCCCCCTCCTTTCTCCCGCCGGCGGCGACGACCACGACGCCACCGCCCCTGTCCCGCTGTCCTCCTTTCGCGATGAAAATCGACGAAAGAAAGAAAGACGGAAACAAGGACAAAACACAAACAACAACTACCTGCCTGCCTGCGCCATCAAGCGGTTGCCATTATCCTAAAACGACGCAGCACAGCGGCTACTGTTGGAGGGGAGGGGGAGGGGGCGGCGCCACGCCGGCCGGCCGGTGCGGGAGGTCCGCGAACAACGCGCCGGACCGCCGGTGCGACAAAGACAGAGAGACGGACCACTGCGCCGGAAGAGCTGCACTGCGGGACGGCCCGGCCGGGACGGCGCGGAGCAGAGCGCGACGGGGCAACCAGCAGCCGGTACGTGCGGGGGCTGCGGGGGCCACGGCGGCGACGTGATCGGAC